ACCTTATCAACTTATATTCCTGGTGGAGGAAGGTGAGCAAGTAAAAAACAAAAACAAAAACAAAAAAATCCCAACCTACTGTGAGTAGTACAATGGAATAATAAACAAGATAGCAGAATAATATGATGAAGAAAGAGGGAGTAGCTACAGAAGACAGGGTGGCTGGGGGAAAACTCTCCAAAGAGGTGACTTTGAGCTGACACTGAAGAATGACAATAAGCCAATTGCTAAAATAGCTAGCAAAATTCATTCATTAATTTCTTTAATGCTATGCATAAAGTGCTTTCTGGAAACATAACAGAGAAATAAGACAGTGATTCTTCCTTGAAGGAATCTGTAGTCTTCCTTGTGCTATAATTAAGTACCACAAGAAAGTAAATCTTAATTATATGTGAAAGAAACTATCTAGCTGGAGGAGGTATCTGAGTTGAGCCCCGAAAGATAGGTAATTTTTGGCCTCTGGGATGAATGACAGGGAAAGGGATAGGGGAATCTGTAATTTAGGAAGCAGGGGAAAAAAAGGCTGGTATGTGGGACGCCTGGGTGGCTCAGATGGTTAAGCGTCTGCCTTCGGCCCAGGTCATGATCCCAGGGTCCTGGGATCGAGCCCCACGTCCGCTCCTGGCTCAGCGGGGAGCCTGCTTCTCCCTCTGCCTCTCCCCCTGCTCATGCTCTCTCTATCTCTCTGTATCTCAAATGACTAAATAAAATCTTAAAAAAAAAAAAAAAAAGGCTGGTACGTATCCATATGTTTGGCTAAAAATTGGGGGTGTAAAGGGAAGTCACAGGATATAAAGTCCCCAAAGTACCAGAAGCAGGTTGAGTTTGGATTATGCTTCACAAGAAAACTTTGAAGACTGAACTGGCAGAAAAGGGAGAGCAGAATGTAAGACATGAAGAAGAAACCTACACCACGGCCAATGAGAAGGGAGAGTTGAAAGAACTAAGACTGTATAGTTCTGTTGTTTTTAAAATATGTATTTATTTATTTATCTTAGAGAGAGAGAGAGAGAGAGAAAGAACGTGTAGGCATGCTTATGGGGGGGGGGGAGGGAGAGGGAGAGAGAATCCTCAAGCAGATTCCATACTGAATGCAGAGCATGGGGCTTGATCCTGGGACCCTGAGATCAGGACCTGAGGTGAAACCAAGAGTTGGACTCCTCCTTTTTTTAAAAAAGATTTTATTTATTTATTTGACAGAGAGAGAGACAGCGCGAGAGGGAACACAAGCAAGGGGAGTGTAAGAGGGAGAAGCAAGCTTCCCACGGAGCAGGGACCCCGATGCGGGGCTCGATCCCAGGACCCTGGGATCATGACCTGAGCCGAAGGCAGACGCTTAACAACAGAGCCACCCAGGCGCCCCGAGAGTTGTACTCTTAACCGACTGAGTCACCCAGATGCCCCAGACTGTGTTTTTTTTTTTTTTTTAAGATTTTATTTATTTGTCAGAAAGAAAGAAAGAGAGAGAGAAAGAGAGAGCGCACAAGCAGAGAGTGGCAGGCAGAGGGAGAAGCAGGTTCCCCACTGAGCAGGGAGCCCAATGTGGGACTTGATCCCAGGCCCCTGGGATCATGACCTGAGCTGAAGGTAGCTGCTTAACTGACTAAGCCACCCAGGCGCCCCAAGACTGTGTAGTTCTAAGTGATGGGAATTTGTAAAGGTGGGGTGTGACTGTGTGTGTGTGTGGGGGGGTGCTGAAGAAATGAGTTAAGGACACGCAGGAATTTTTTTAAAGATTTATTTATTTATTGGAGAGCAAGCGAGCGAAAGCTTGCTCCAGTGCGCAAACGCTGGAGGGGGGACAGAGGGAGAGGGAGAGAGAAACTCTGAGAAGAAGACTCTGCATGGAGCCTGATGTGGGGCTCCATCTCATGACCCTGAGATCACAATCTGAGCTGAAACCAAGAGTCAGATGCTTAACTGACTGCACCCCTAGGCACCCCAAGATGTAGGAATTTTGAGTCATCATGTTATGGTGGATCATTTACCAAAAGTTGGCAATAAAAGAAGCTTAAGGTGGAAGATTATTAGCTATTTGTGATTCTGAAGTGTTAATCAGGACACTGTCAACAGGCAGTTGGAAATCTAAGACTGGAATGTCAAAGAGGTCAGAATTAGAGCAATTTTGGGTAAGTCCACAAAGAGGACTTATTATTAAATAATTAAATATAATTATTAAAGTCCAGGAGTTCTCCTAGAGATTTATTTATTTATTTTATAAAAAAAGATTTTATATATTATTTGACAGAGGAAGAGATAGTGAGAGCAGGAACACAGCAGGGGGAGTGGGAAAGGGAGAAGCAGGCTTCCCGCTGAGCAGGGAGCCTGATGCGGGCTTGATCCCAGGACCCTGGGATCATGACCTGAGCTGAAGGCAGCCGCTTAACGCCTGAGCCACCCAGGAGCCCCTCTCCTAGAGATTTAAAGAAAGAAGCATGGAGCACCTGTGTGGCTCCGTTGGTTGAGCGGCTGGCTCTTGATTTCAGCTCACGTCATGATCTCAGGGACCTGGGATTGAGCTTCACGCTCAGACTGGAGTCTACTTGGGATTCTTTCTCTCCCTCTGCCCTCCACCCCCCACCCCATGCGTGCTCTCTCAAATAAATAAATCTTAAAAAAAAAAAAAGGAGGAAGACCAAAGATAGAACCTAAGGGGCCCCTATTTTAGGGAACAGTAAGAGTTGGAGAGGTGAGAAAATCAGCAAGTACCAGTGCTGGCGAAATCAAGAAAACAGAATTAAGAATATTAAGAATCCAGTGGTAATAGTATCACAATACTGCAGAGGGGAGGGAAGAACCCAGAAGAATGCATCAAACTGCTGCCTTTTAAGAATGCAGCTTCAGCAGTGTGATGACAACAAAAATCAGATTGCAGGGGTTACAGAGGAGGTCTACTGTAGATGGTCAGGAAGTAGAGTCAAAATGGAAAGGATTCAAAAGGTTTGGGGGTAAAGATACGAAAAAGGGATGGGAGTTTGATGAGGAGACATAACTGAAAAAAGTATGAGACAGATGGACAAGAATATACATGAAGGGAAGGATCCAGAGGGAGAGAGAAGATAGGAGAGTAAAAGGGTATTAACAGAAGAAATAGTGGGAAGAGTAATAAAAGACACAGACTGAAAGGGAGGAGTACTTCCTACTCAGATGAGAGGATGGGTGCATATGTAGAAAGATTGAGGAGAGAGGAGGAAATAGTGTGTGTGGTTGTGGGGACAGCGAAGGGTGCATAAGAAATGGTTTCAAACTTTTCAGTAAAGGAGGAGGCTTGGAGTCTACAAAGAACGGGTTAGAGGGTTTGAGAACAAAAATTATTTTTAGTAGAATGGCATTATTAGGGCCCTCACATAAATCAGATATATAAAATGAAAGATGGGGCCAAAACGGCATCCACAGGTGACTAAAATTGAAGATTTCATTACATAGTACAGATGGGCTTGTGTAATTGTTATTCATATACAAATATGGTCCAATTCACACTACATTTTCTTTCAATAGCAAAATCACTAATTTGGATTTAAAGTATGATTTCAGACAACGAGAAAAGGAGAATATGATCAAAGACTCACTTTTTATTATTTTTTAAAGGATTTCATTTTTAATCTCTACACCCAACGTGGTGCTGAACTCACAACCAAGAGATCAAGAGTCGCATGCTCTACTGGGGGAGCCAGCCAGACGCCCCATGGACTCACTTTTTAAATTTGCATACATAGTAACTGTGATTGTTTTAACTTGTTTGGAACTGTGTAAACCATTTTGCAGCAATTACAAGTTAATGAGACAGACCACAGGATTAAAACGATTAGGAAATGTTGCTTGAGGAATAATTCACAGATGAGAGTTTAGAAAAAGGAAAAACAGGAGTCTTTCTTTTGTACAGGACTGAACTCATCCTCAGGACAATGACCAGGAAAAAGGGAGGTCTTCTTAATACAAGTAAAAGAAAACTGCCGAACAGAAAAATAAGTTTGAAGTGATTCAGCCTTTTCAGAAGTCAATATCTTTGTCTGGCAGTGATTTCTACTACCATAACCTGAAAGTGCTAAAGCCTGCATTGCAAATGGCTACACAGCATAAAACCTATGTTTACTGCCAATTAAGTCCAACCGCTGTTATCTTATAATTTTCGTTTCTTAATGAATCCTTTCTCTAAGTATTCTCATTCATCCACTAGTAACAACCTGGTACTTCGATATATTGCAGGTGGGAGATAGTGGACGTGGGGAGGGTCAACTCTCATGTTTGAGTCTTAGCAGCCGCGTCCCTCCAAAGGAGGAATGAATTCTACAGTTTGTGGCTTATCGGCCCGGGGACTGGTGGAGGCTGCGAGACGCAGGATAGAGATGGTCGGCTAGGAGGTGGGCAAACCGAGTGTCTTGTGGCTCTTCCCTCACATGTGGAACATGTCAACGCCGAACACCCTGAAGTGTGCTAAAAACACCACCCCCCCCGCCCAAGACTCATTCCACGAGCTCCCCCTGAAGAGGTACCCGCCCAGGAGGAAGGATCTCAGCCCAGACTTCATCCAGAGGAGACGAGCTACTCACTGTCGATGTCCTCTATGAGGCTGGCGGTGCCGGGCATATAGTTCATTTTGAGCTGAGATAAGGCTGCAGTGTACAGCGGCGGTGGGCCAGTGCGTCCAACACCTCCCTTCTCCGACCACAGTCGCCGCCTGGGCGCGACCGGGACAGGAACCCGGACCAGGAGCAGCACGACTGCCCCGGCTTTCAGCAGCCGGGGCCTGCCGGAAACGCCTCCATATTATTCCCACCCACTTCCGGTATCACGTGCCTGTCCTCAGGAAGAGGCGGGGCTGTTGTGCGGTCCCGGAACACCCATTCCCCCATCCCTGATAAAAGGGGAAGAGGAATCTAGATTGACTAGATGGTAAGGAAAATGTATTCTCCCTTTTAAGAAACACGGTGCTGCCCCTCGTCTTCTTGCTTCCCAGACCCCCGAGTCACGGAGCTCCGTCCTTCAATTCTCAGACTCGGCAGCCGAAGGGGCGGGACCGGGCCTGGGATTGGCTGTTGTCGGCCGACCCCTTTCCCTGCTGTCCAGTTCCTCTCCTCGGCTGGCGCCTGCGCTGTGGGGTGGCTGTGGGGGGCGGGAAGCGCTACGGGGCAGTAGAGCCCATGTCGGCCTTGAGGCGCTCGGGCTACGGCCCCAGTGACGGTCCTTCGTATGGCCGCTTCTACGGGCCCGGGGGTGGAGATGTGCCCATGCACCCACCTCCGCCCTTGTATACTCCTCGCCCTGAACCTCCCCAGCCTCCCATTTCCTGGCGGGTGCGCGGGGGCGGCCCTGCTGAGACCACCTGGCCGGGAGAAGGCGGAGGAGGCGATGGCTACTATCCCTCTGCAGGCGCCTGGTCAGAAACGGGTCGAGCTGGAGGAAACCACCAGGTAAGCTTTGCACCATCTGTCCCAGGGGGTTCCGATAAGGGGCGTCTTTGGAGGGTGAGGGCCATTGGGGTTGATAAACCTCCAGAGTTCGTAATGGATCGGGTTTCGTATTTGTTTTCCTTATGGGGGGTTGGAGAGACAGACTGGATTTGTGGCTGGAGGGATATGCTTGTGTTCTCTTTGCGTCTCCTTTTCTGCTTCGACCATGATAAATGTGTCTGTTACCATTAAAAAGGGAAGAAAGATCCTGCGCTGACTTGCTAAGCTAAGTAGCAAGCTGCGGAATCTCTCGCCTTGGATTGATGTTGGGCTGGAGTGACCTGGCCAAGCTTTTTGAGCTCTAACAATTTATTCTGCGTGGCTCATATGGCTGGCTCTCCCCGAGAAGGGAGGTGGCTGCAGCCCCCGCTGTCACTCAGCAACCCCTCCCGCCGGGAAGGAACTGAGAAGGAAGAGGAGGGATCAGGCATTTAGCCCTTTGCCCCTAATGCTCTGCCCAGGGTTGAATCACCAATACTCACCTTTACTTGGATTGTTAAATTACGTTGCGGCTGCAACGTAATTGTCATTACAGCCTCCCTGTTTTATGATTTAATAGTTGGCTCCGAGAGGCTAACTCACTTGGTCAGTAGAGATATCCCTGGCTTTTTGAACGTTCACCTTTATTGCCACTTTGTTTTTTAGGAAAGACCTACCTTAGTGTCTGTTTTTACTAACTGAAGGAAATCTGAAAAGGAGTTTTGCTTTTAGGAAAAAGGGTGAAAAGCGAAAATAGCTTCAGCGTTTGTTTTGCAGCGAGCAGTTGTAGAGGCCGTGCGCCACTGGGCAGTGAGAGTGGCACCGCCAAGCTCCTGCCCTGGGAACTACACTCAGCATCTCAGCATCACAGTGCCGTGGCTTTGAACTGTGTCTGTGAGCCTCGGGGCTTTATCTCAATCTATTTTGTGCATCCGTTGGCAAGATATGTCCTAAGGTAGCACAAAAGCCTAAGAAAGGTTATTTTGGGGGCTGGGAATGCTAAAACATTTTTCATAAAAAATTAATGGTAATTACTTTTTCGCTTTATGCCATTTTGGCTTACAAAAGATTTCATAGGAATGTTCTACTTTCAGATAGCAGGGGAGACCTGTACACTCGGACTTACAACATTTTGCTCCTTGTCTTCCTGCCAGAAATACACTTCTCTTTTGTTAATTCAGTATTCTTGGCAATGAATTATTATATGGTCGGGGGCACACCTCTCTTTCCGTTCAGTAATTATAATATCTTCATGGGTTGAAAATGTAGTGGTGAAATTCCCATAAATTGCTGGTGGGGATGTAAGATGGTTCGGCTTTGGAAAATAGTTTGGCAGTTCCTCAGAACGTTAAGCATAGAGTTAGTATATTACTCAGCAGGTTTGCTTTAGATATGTACCCAAGAGAACTGAAAGCATGTCTACTTAAAAACTTGCATGTTTTTATGAACAACAAGCATGTTCATGGCAACATTATTCAGAATAACCAAAAAGTGGAAATAACCCAAATGGCCATCAACTGATGAATAGATAAAATATGGTATATTTATGCAATGAAATTATTTAGCCGTAGGAAGGAAATTAAGTACTGATACATTCTATGACATGGATGAACCTTGAAAACATCGTGCTACATGGACAAAGATAGAAAGACCACACACATACTGTATAAGTCCATTTATATGAAATGTCCAAAATAGGCAAATCTGTAGGGACAGGAAGATTAGTGGTTGCCAGGGGCTGGGGGACTGGGGACTTTGAGATGACGGTAAAGTGTATGGGGTTTGTTTTGGGGGTGATGAGAATATTCTGGATTTAGATAGTGACGATGGTTGCACAACTTTGAATGTACTAAAAACCATTGAATTGTACACTTTAAAAGGGTGGTTTTGGGGCACCTGGGTGGCTCAGTCAATTCGGTGTCTGACTCTTGATTTCAGCTCAGGTTATTGTCTCAGGGTCCTGAGATCGGGCTCTGCCTCAGACTCTGTGCTCAGTGTGGAGTCTGCCTGTCCCTCTCCCTCTGCTCTCCCCCCCCACTTGCACTCTCTCTCTAATAAATAAATAAAAATAAAATCTTTTAAAAAGGGTGAGTTTTATGCTATGATGGTCATATCTTTAAAAAATTTTGTAAGAAACAACATCCAGTGAGAGATTAATTGTGAAGAAGGGTTATATTTGTGTGTGTGTGTGTGTGTGTAAATCTGGAATAAGTAGGCTTCGGAACTTTATCCCATGGTAGATTAGAGTGATAAAATGCTTGGCCTATAAGAAGGCAAACCATACCAAAGATCAGTGGAAAGCAAGGAGGAGATGAACGATAAAGAGATGACTTCTCCTTGAACTCGCAGTATTCTTAAAACAAGAGTGTGTTTTCTGGGCAAGGTTAGAGAAGTTCAGATTTTAGAATTGTGTAGGGTGTTAGTAATCTGTACACCCAACGTGGGGCCCAAACTCACAACCTCAAGATCAAGAACGCACATGCTCTTCCAACTGAACCATCCATGCACCCCTATCTATCTTACTTTCTGAATGCATTTCAAAACAAGCTGCATAGATTTGAAAGACATTTTTAAAGGTATATATCAACTGGAAGTGAGGGAAGCCAGAGAAACATAAGGTGATTCTGAGGTTTTAGTATTTCCTAGGAATAAATGTTTCATAGTAATAAAAAGGAAGAGGAACAGGTTTTTATGGGAAGATATAGTTTAGTTTCATACCAGAAGAACTAGTGATTGGTTAATAGAGGAGCTTAAAAAAATACAAAGACTTGGCAAGGGTTTGTGTACTGCCTTTATTTCACTTCTGTTGGAAGCCAGTTATTCACCGTGGTTACTATGTGCCAAGCTCTGGATGTAATGTATGTGATTGATGAGACAGAAGTTTGTGATTTTCTCTTTTTTTTTTTTTTTAAGATTTTATTTATTTATTTGACAGAGAAAGACACAGCGAGAGAGGGAACACAAACGGGGAGTGGGAGAGGGAGAAGCAGACTCCCTGCTGAGCAGGGAGCCCGATGCGGGACTCGATCCAGGGACTCCAGGATCATGACCTGAGCCGAAGGCAGTCGCTTAACCAACTGAGCCACCCAGGCGCCCTGTGATTTTCTCTTTTTGTTTTTGTTTTTTGATGCCAAATTTTATAGTCTCTGGTATCCAGGAGTTGTTGTCTATAGGAACAAAACAATAGATGTGGGGTCAGGTGGGTGATGGGGGATGGAGATGGTGATTTGAGAGTCATCAAAGCTAAGCATATTTGAATTACCAAACTGGGTAATGTTCTCACAGGAGATCTTTGAGAGTAGAATAAGTGACAAAGAAAGAGGATTCAGAAGAAGACAATAAGAGAGAATACTTGGAAAGATAGTAAGGAAATCAGGAAAGTCATGCAGTGCAAACCAAGCAAGGACACAATTATTTTGAACGTAAGTGATGCGAGAACTGAAAAGACGCTGTTGGATTTGGCAATTGAAAGGGTCTTGTTGATTTTAGTGGTGGGAGTTTAAAATAGTGGGAGGTTTGGGTGCCAAGACAACACCCAGGTATGTAAATGATACTTCCAGAAGTTAGTAAATGAGAAAGTGGTTACTTGACTGCGAACCAGGATCGGGGAAATAATTTTTAGGATTAGGTGGCTTGAATATGTTTGTAAGCAGAAGAGAGTAGGAAGAAAGATGGGAACAAAATGATGGAATGTGGCTTGTGGAGAGAGGGATGAAGAAGTGAGGAAGAGCTGGAAAACCTTTTTTTCCAAGCTAAAGGCGGGGGGGAATCAGTTTGGAGGTGGAGGGGAGGGACATTAAAAGAGTTTATAACTCTTGGTGTCCTTGGCGAAGTAGGAGGCTAGGTCATCTGAGAGGAGAGGAGGTGGAATAGCATAAACTGGGAACTTGATATGATAAATGTTTGAAACAGGTGCCAGGGGAACTGGGAAATTGTAGAGAAGCCTGGGAGAGACCCAAATGAGATTGAAAAGAAAAACTTGGGATGATGGTCAGCATAGGAACATAAAGTGCTTTTGTAATGATTTGGGCATATATAGCTAAAAATAATTTTTAATGTATTTTTCTAATAATTTTTGTCTAATTCTTGTGAACAAGGTAAACAAATTTGTAAATGGAACTTAGTGGCAGCACTAGTCAGATTCCTCTGCTGTTAGATTTGCTTGGGTTGGGGTTATTTTTTAGAGGCGTGTTGGTAAGTCACTTTGTAAATTTAATCTTGTATATATTTCTACAAAACTAGTTCTAAGATAAATATGAAAGAAGTTGACTCCAGCCTTCATCTGAGATTTAGGTGTTTCTTCTCAAAAAGGAAGTAAATGAATTTGTTATCTTCTTGCATAATTTCGATCAAATTTCCAGTGCAACAAGAACTTTAATTCACATTAATTACTGCCTCTTGTGAAAACCTTTTCTCATTTTTGTCTGGTTTACATCACCTTTTAGCACCTTTGTCTAGTTTCAGACAACAAATAAAAAGTTTGGAAAGAGTTAAGCACATGATAACATTGGCAACTTGGATTATAAAACAGATCAGCTTCAGCCAGCTTCCTGTGAAACCAAATGATATTTCATAGAATTATGTCATTCACGTTAGGAGGGCCTTGAGCTGCAGACTTTCATTGTTACTGGGGATATTTTTAGATTTGTTCCATTTTGTCCAAAGGGGAGGAAAAAAAGCGAAGACAGTCTTTTTATTAAGACTTAATAAAATTAATAATTCTTGCCACTTCATTGAAGACATTCTCCCATCCAAGTACTAAGCAGGCCGGACGCCTGGGTGGCTCAGTTGGTTAAGCGACTGCCTTCGGCTCAGGTCATGATCCTGGAGTCCCTGGATCGAGTCCCGCATCGGGCTCCCTGCTCAGCGAGGAGTCTGCTTCTCCCTCTAACCCTCCCCCCGTCATGTACTCTCTCTCTCTCATTCTCTCTCTCTCAAATAAATAAATCTTTAAAAAAAATAAATAAATAAAATGGTACCAA